TATAAATTATTTGAAGACACTGAGTCAGAACCATCAGAAGTAACAGATTCTGAGCTTATTCAATTTAATCTTTCAGAAACTGACGTAGATTGCATGTCAGAAGAAGAAACTGCAAATCAAGCAGTACAGGAAGATTTGATAACTTTAGAGGAAGACAATAGTGAGCAACCAGAGGTAACCCCTTATTTGATTTTTAGTGAATCTAGTTATACTTCCGGAGGAAGAAGTAGCAAAATAATTGTCAAGGAAGAGTCAACTGAGAAGCATCAAGAAGAGGATACAGAGGGTAAGCAAGAAACTACAGAGGAGGAAAATGAAGATACAGACTCAAACCCTACAGCCTCAGACCAAGAAGAAGGTGACGAGACAACAGAAAGTCTAGCAAAAAAACTAGCAGAATTTGAAAACAAAACAAATCAGGAACCTGTCGAACCATACGAAATTTACTCAGACCAAGAGTCAGATACCTTGTACGTTCGACATACATCAAGCAGTGAAGAAGCAAGTCCAGAAAAGAAAAATAAAGAGAAGGAGATAATCTCAGAAATAGATCCAGAAGATTCAGGCAAAGAAATTCAAATACCAAGTCCAACAGAATCAATCAAAATGAGCACCATGACGGCAATGGATGCAACTCAGACAACTGGTAGTCTGTCTAATATATTTCAAGGAGTAGCTGCTATGGCCCCTTCTACAACCAGTGGATCAACTGGGGGATATGACATAATAGAAACTTTAGGATTGAAGACTCTTTTTCAACCACAGTGCTGGGCAATGAACTGTAGAAACCCGGTTGATTCTGAAAATAAAAAATGCCCCAGTTGTTGTCAATGTGCTAGCCAAGGATGTGGGGGAATAGCACTTGGAGTCAGAAAATGGTGTAGCTATTGTCGAGATAAGTGTAAGGTACCTATGTGTCAAAATAATAGAGTAATTGGGAAACCTAATTGTGAAAATCATAGTAAGGAAGGACCAGCACCATGTGCATGGTCTGGATGTAGACAACCTGCGAAAGAATCAGGGGATTTTTGTGCAGAATGCCAGGAGAATGTAGATAAGATGTGTGAGACCTGGCGATGTTTTGAACCGAAATGTAGCGAGTCGGCACAATATTGTCAAGGGTGTTGGGATAAGGAGTATGATGCGGCAAAAAGACGGCTACAAATGTCTCCCATTCAAGATCCAAAGCAAACTAGCTCCAACTTGACTTCCGGATCAGGAG